GTGGTATTTCTCCTTCCCTTCTGAGCTAATCACCAATCCTATATTCTCGTATCACACCTTCACTATCACTATTGTTTTCTTGCTTATTTAAATGTGGTATGGTGTGCCCTTTTAAACGGCTTTCATGCAAACTCTCCACGCTTCATGCAGACTTTTTCACCCTTCATCACCCCCCTTTACTCTTATGCTAGAAAATTTTATTAGTCTGCTCTATTGTTATGCAGTCCTTCCATGCCCCGTAGGATGCGTCTGCTATCTCTCTGGTTCAAGTATTTCACTCGACCCCTGCCACCCCATCTGTTCTACTCGAGGCGTTATTTTCCATTCTGTGTCTGAGACATTAACTCAAGGCTAGAGACCCTAAGTAATTCTCATGGTCAAGCCTTTGCTGCATAGACGTCTAATAAAACAGGCCTACTGTTAGCCAATTAGCTCTAGTCTCCGCCGCTTCTATCCTATTTATATCCCTTATATCAAGTCTATCACTTCTTGTCTGCCAGCCCACAAATGTGGTACTGCTTGCTTTGATTAGGTTCAATGCTGATGTAAAATTTGTGATCGTGAAGGCGTGATATGGGGATGTATAATTGGTGATTAGCCCAGCGGGTAAAGAGAGATACTACGATTGCTTAGCAGACAATACGTCAAAGGATCGGTTTCAATTTGGCGAGTTGTAGTCTAGTGCTAAGAATGGCAAGACGCGATGACGATGCCTACTACAATTCCGGCGAAACGTCTAGAAATGTACCACATCCACGTTCCGATTTTGGAAATTATCATGTATATAATGGACTCTGGACTAGGTGCGAAAACAAGCTCAGACAAGTTTTATGTTACATTAATCTCATCAACCAAACCAGACTTACGAGACTACGCAGCTCCCGTCATGCCTTTTCTTGGATGGTTAAACCCTAATGACCCTAGACTGAGAGGTTTGGACAGTGGTTTCGTAACTTGATTTACAAGCTCATATCTCACTATCTCAACAATATTTGCTTACGGACTTACGCCGTCTCGGTCAGGTATTTCTCTTGAGTCATTAGGCCTTAATGATCAGAGCCTGGTAATTGCCTTTTGATAACTGATTTAGGACCGGCATTGCGCATAGACTCTAACACGCATATACACACCCGCACACACTTGAGCCAAAGTATTAGGACCAGTATGAAAGATAATTAGCCAATCCACGGTATCTTTATCTATCTAGGTTTTTTATTTTATTTTCCTTAATTGAGTCTATAAGAGGTAAGATAGAGCCGGATAGTCTTCTTGCTCTAGTATTAACGTGATACTTTTACAGGAATGCACCCCAGCTCTGATGATGTCTATCATATGATGGACGAAGGCTTAGCCCATTTTAATCCGAAACGAGGGAGCAGGTCTCGTGGACTGCGTCAACCTGAACTTCGGCTGCAGTAAAACGAGATTCATCCGTCCTCTTCTGGTTAGATCGACCTATGAATCTCTTCTTCATGCACTTTCATATGAAATGAAAGTCCCATAACAATGTTATCTCAGGAGATACATCGAAACCCAGTTTCTCTTCTTACCTACAGATAATATTATACTCAAAATTGCATATGTTGATATTTTAGTTATACTACCTATTTATATGTAGTATATCAAGAGTACTTAATCTAACTCGTAAATGGCTTTGCATTAACTTGTTCTATCTGCAAAGCCCAAACCTTTATCACTACTATTTTGTAATTTACGTTGACTTGTGATAATTGCTTCTGAGTAGCCTATCAAAAGTGGTTTGTTTAAGCATTTTTTCCTGTTGTTATATCCAAGAACACTGGGCCGTCATTCCGTGAGCGCCATTCCTGTTTTATAATTATTCTTCAGGCACGCCAGAAATTAGGTATTCCTTGGGCTGGTGGTTCGGATTGTCCTGCTGAAAGGGCCTCTCATATCCTTGACCAAAACTACCTGGATACCCGGCTTGTTCGTCGAGAGCGCCTGCGTCAAATGCAATCGATTTGGCTCGAGGAAGAATTCTTGGCTATAGTGGACGAGCTGCGTCTCGTCTGGGCCGACAATGCTATCCGACAAGCGTTTGATCAGCGTTCTAAGATGATAACGGAAGATTTTGTGAGCTTTCCATCCATATAAGACTATTCAAACCACATATATATATATTCGTTCCTGTCTTGGGAGAACTTAATCTATGTATAAAATTCTAACTACTCGGACCCTTGTGTACATTTGTCAAATCTCATCTCTAATAGTTTAGCATTGCAATCAAATGAGATCGCTTTCAGCACAGTATGAATTGCATGAATTGTACTCCAAAGGCTACTTTTATAACCTAAATTGTTATATTGTCTTTGTTCATACATCATTAGATCACTTTTACTAACGTAATAGACTATGTGATACTTTTGAAAACCACATAAGATAGTATTTTTATACAGGCCTCAGAATCTCACAACAAGCCTAGTGTTGCCTAGTTTAATAATACGTTGAATTGGAATTAGATCAATTCATGTATCTGGATACCAATGCTTAGCTGATTTTCATTTCGTAGGAAATTTTAAGATACGGTTATTCATGCAAATATCACCAGAAAGCGACTGTAAATTCGGTTTCTCTTGAATGATAAGGCAGTAGTGGCCCTTGAGACTCCCTCATTCCATTCTCGTGAGAATTTTCCGGGCGCTTGTTTGCTATCTATCAGACTTAAGAAAAGACGGACATCCTT